TCTTAGCAATTATAATGTAAAAGAAAGCTTGAGTTTCACCAATTATACTTACATATATGAAGAAAGACTAAGTTATTAGAAGAGATTTTATATGTTGGCATTGCCCAGTAGTAGAATCCCCCAAACAGAAATCACTCATACAACTTACTCTTCATTTTGTTCCAAAAGGAGATTGTGCTATGAAGAGTGTGACTCCATATTGCTTTAAAATAGCCTTAAACAAAATTAAGTAGGATTACTGCTAAAAGATCACAATAGTAAAACAATAAAAGCATTTTAATTTTGTTTACAAGCCACTATTATTTATGTAGGTAGCATTGCACTCTTAGAAATTTTAGTAATGATAATCATCATTTGGTCCAGTGTAATAATGTAATATCTAGTTAGCTTGCAGATGTTAATTAAAAATAACAATCTAGTTCCTTTTAACACCTGGCTAGCTACATAAAATAGGAAGGATTTCTAGCCATGTGCAGATGGGTTTCTGTGTAATTTTAAGACCTCATATCTTCACATCTCCATGCCTTTGCTCATGCTGTTTATTTTTCCTGGACTTATCCTCCCTTCCTTGTCAAACTCCTCCTGGTCCTCCAGAATCCAGCCAGAGTTATATTTTCTCTCTGGCTTTTCTTGGCGCTGTCTTCCTGTACAGGTTCTCCTCTTAAAATTGATGGATTAATTGTTTCCTCCTTTGTGTTCCCAAAGCCTCTGAGTTTCAAGGGCATGTCTGTCACCTTTATTTCTCTAGTGACTGGTACAGTCCCTGTCTCAGAATATGTGTTCAACAAATAAGTATTCAGTTTGAAGCATTAGACGCTTTTTACCTTGGTCACTGATTCATCCAACAAAATATGTATTAAGAATTTTTTACATGCAAGGTGCTGTGTCTTATGTTGTAAAGGTACTGAAAAAGAACACACACTCACAGGTGCTCAATTTCTTAGAAACTTAAAATATAGTGTAATAAGGAAAAAATAAGTCATGTGTAAAAGTAACTGCAATGTATGGTTTGAAGTGTTATTTTCAAAGAGAGAGGTGTGTGTGATTGCTTCCTGCTGGGGTTGAAGAATGTCTTCTTATTGACTAGGGAAATAGTCTTCCTTATTAAATAGCTCAAAAGGTATTATTCAAAACTATGTTTCTTTTGATGTCTCATAAATTAGGTTAAATTTTATTCTAGATCCAAACTTGGAGTATTATTGTGGACTATTGGATTAAAACACAGCTCAGGGTTATGCTGCTACTTGCCAAACAGTCCACCTTTAAAGTACAGAAAGTTTCATTTGGTGCCTTAAGGTATGAATTTAATGCATTCCCTGGTTTTTAGAGAACACCTTAAGTGATAAATCCTTTACGTGTTGCTACAAGTTATTCCTAATTGCCACTAGAAATAGGCTGTAGAAAGCTTTTGACAAAAGTTAAAAATAATGTCATTGAAATGAAAAATCCAAACCACATTTAACTGAGAATTTTTGAAAACTTCAGTCAGCACAGTTTGAAAGATCAGTGCTTAACTGTAGTATTTAAGCCGAAAGTATTTAAAAAATCAGCAGATTGCATTTTTCCACATTAAGGGGTAAGATGTTAATAGTGTAAGTGGTTACAGATGTTAACTGATGGTCACCAGCAGTTTTTCTCTTTTTGTTTAGACTTGGATTATCACTTGCATTTATCTTCAACTGCTCCTCTTTAATCATCTCGTCAGAACTACAGGGATCTGCACGAACCGTGTCACTGATGATGTGAAAGACGTTACAAAATTGGTGAGTGAAGAATGCTTTCAATAGCTGTGGCCCTTTTTCTTGTGCTTTTTGAAGAAGATTTCATTTTTCCTTGATCCAAATAGGCCTTTTTCTAAGACAAGGAAATCATTGAGTTATCTAAAGGGCTTATAGGGAGAGCAGGTGGGAAGACACTCAAGGTCACAGAGAATCTGTTGATAAAATGGGCCCATGCCACACTGCTGTATTGACTTCGGATTTTTGCTGCTCTTTTCATCTCATTCCCCAGCTGCGAAGCGAGGTCCCTTCCTGGGTGCGGATGTGCCAGCCCTGGCTCCTTCCCCATTAGCGCTTTAGTGGGTTCCTCAGCATGCCTTCCTACCTTTCTGTATCAAGCCCACTCAAAGGGGATCCGAGATGGCCATTCTCCCCTTTCCAACATCTGGGAGACCCTGTCCCATGTGGGGGTGTGTACTTGCTCCCTCAGTGAACATACTTGGAGGAGTGGCTTGTTGTCCAGATGTTGACCAGACTCACCTCCTACATTTGTCAGTGGAACTCTTCCCTCAGCAAAAGCCATTTCACACTCCTGCTGTTAGGCAATGCCAGCTTCATGCCATCCTCTCTTAAAATGCAGACCACAGAGACAGGGGGCATAATACCACATCTGGAATGCATTTTTCCCAGCTCTGACGATCTAGGGGAGATTGTACATGCTCATTTGAGTTTCGGAGTGTGATTTCGGGATGAACAGCATTTGAGAGGCATTTTTATAAATTTCTGGTTCAAAATAGCTGAGGACAGTTAGTTATTTGACTGTTGTCTAGAGAACAGAAATGATGTGAGACTAAAAAAGAAATGAGGGTTGTTGTGACATGTACAAAAGAAAGAAAAGTACATTTGTGGAGATATTTATCTTTCCTCCTCTAGATATACATTTCCTGGCTTATATGACTTTGGGTTCATTGAAACAGAAGTTTAATGCTCTGGTCAAAGTCTTGCTAGCTTAGCCTCAGTGCAGAATTAGGAACACACACCCATACCCACAGGCACACACAAACACAGTGTATGAAGACAGGCCGAGCATATCCAAGATTAATATTGTACTTAAGAGGGTACAGGTTTAAAAGTATTCTTGATGCAGTACCTGAAGATGTAGTAACATGTGTTATTTGAGGGGATGGTGACCAAAGCAATGCATCATTTTCCTATCATATGCTCAGCTAGGTACTGAGTATAGTGGTGGGGATAAGGGTGGAGTATTTTTTTTTAATTTTGTTTTAGTAGAAGACGCTCATTAAATGTGTGTTTGATGAAAGAATTAAGGATGTGCTCCACTGAGGTGAGAATTACAGTCACCTGTGGTGCTTATTAAACTTGCAGGTGTCAGGGTTCTACTGATTCGGTAGGTTTGAGGGAGGGCTCCGGGTATCCGCATTTTTAGGACATTTCTGAAAAGAGGTTTACTGCTCTAGATGGTCTTTTCTGTCAAACTTTAAAGACCAAAGTGTCTTAACTTTTATTTAATCTCAGTTTTTATTATGGCTAGTTTTATCTTTGTTATATAGATTTATGGATGTCAGATGAATATGTGTCTCCCGTACATGCTAAAGGGGCTGCTGGTAGAGCTGTGAAGCTGAGAATGAGCTGGGGTGATCTGCAGGGGTCCTGGGGAGCAAGTTTCAAATATGTGGGCAATGACTCATAGTTGGGAGATGATGGTGTATCTGACCACAGGCCAAGCATATCCAATATTAACATGGTATTTAAGAAAAATTACCTGTCCAAGTTGTTTGTTTGTTTGCTTTTGTGTGTGTGTGTGTGTGTTAATCCTTACCCGAGATATTTTTTTCATTGACTTTTAGAGGGGGTGAAAGGGAGGAGAGAGAGAAAAACATCAATGTGAGAGACACATCGATTGGTTGCCTCCTGCATGTGCCCAGACTGAGCAGGGGATGGAACCTGCAACCCAGGTTATATGCTCTTGACAGGGAGTAGAACCCAGGACCCTTCAGTCTTGGAGCTGATGCAACCATGGCCAGGGTCATTGACATTATTTTTTGCTGAGTGTTTGAGGATACTACTTAGTGACCACCACTTCCAGTGAAATGTCAAATCGGTATTTTCAAATGGCATACATAGGTATTATAAGAACCTTCCAAGATTTCCCATTCTTATCTTTAACCATTTGCTTGTTTTCAATCTGTTACCTTTCTGTTGATACAATGGAAAATGGTTAGAAGCTAAAAAGAAAGAAGTGCCAGAAAGGGATGGTTATTAATACTGACATTAAAATATAATTCCTCCCCTCAAGAACAACTGTGAAATCATTAAACTGAAAAGAGTTTTATCTCCTTTCTAGCAACTTACTCATGGAGAAATTTTTAATTTCAAGTGTTGATCTAGTGCAGTGGTTCTCAACCTTCCGGCCCTTTAAATACAGTTCCTCATGTTGTGACCCAACCATAAAATTATTTTTGTTGCTACTTCATAACTGCAATGTTGCTACTGTTATGAATCATAATGTAAGTATCTGATACGCAGGATGGTCTTAGGCGACCCCTGTGAAAGGGTCATTCGACCGCCAAAGGGGTCGAGACCCACAGTTTGAGAACTGCTGATCTAGTGAAATTAGTAAGTTTATTTCAGATTACTGAAAAAAATCAAGTTAATAAAAATATAGATCACTTCTAATTGAATAAAGACCTCCATAATGCACAGCCTGTATTTCATAGAGTAGAAAACATAAAAGTATAAAGTAATTTCTGATATCAGAGTGGGAAATAAGCCATCTCTATGAATATATGAATGCATATCACTAACATCACAGAAACAGCACATAAATGAATGCCATTTAAAAGAGTTCATGGTATAACATCGGACCCAACCTGTGTGAATACAGGGTGTCCCAAAAAATATATACACACTTTAACAGCTGACAGCTCAATTTTGAAAATGAAATATATTTTAATAAACACTGCCTTTATAATTATTCAAAGTGTATACACACTTTTGGGGGATACCCTATATATTGGTTAGGAGAATGGATTTTGGAATCCAGCAAACCTGAATTTTAAATACCAGTTCTTTGACCTTGGACCAGTTTTGTGGGTTAGATTAAATAAGAGAATGCATATATAAATATTTACCCCAGTTATTATCCCATAACCTTTTTGTGCCTCGGTTCCCTCATCATTATAATCAATTAATAATACTTTACACCTTGGCTGGTATGGCTCAGTTGGTTGGAGTGTCATTCTGTACAGGTTCAATTCTGGGTCAGGGCACATACCCGGGTTGCGGGTTCAATCCCAGTTGGGGTGTGTATGGAAAGCAACTGATCCATGTTTCTCATATTGATGCTTCCTTCTCTCTCTCTCTCTCTCTCTCTCTCTCTCTCTCCTTCATCCTTCCTCTCCCTAAAATCAATTTAAAAATCATAATAATCATTTACCTCATAGAGGGATTGCAAGAATTAAATAAGTTAATAGAATAATGCAAAGAACAAAGCAGGTGTCTGCTAAATAATAGCTCTTAGTGGTGATAGTAATGGTGTTTGTGGGATCATAGGATACCAGAGATGAAAGGGAATTTAGAGGCATTATAGAGAAACTATTTATAAATAAGGAAACCTAGACCCAAATTGTTGAAGATGGGCTCCTGGTCCCATTACCAGTGCTGGTCTTCTAGAACAGTGGTTCTCAAATGGGCTCCTAGAGCCACCCAGCCACTCTGTTATTATCTACATAGCTGGGCTTCCAAATAAGAAAAAAGAATCAAACATATGAAAAATGTTTGAAAGCCATGGCTTTAAACTAGTATTTGTGGGATATCATTTGAGAACCATGCGTTAGGGTACCTCTTAAAAGTACAGCTCAATACAATCTCTTAGGGCAGTGGTCGGCAAACTCATTAGTCAACAGAGCCAAATATCAACAGTATGATTGAAATTTCTTTTGAGAGCCAAATTTTTTAAACTTAAACTATATAGTTAGGTACATTGTTATTAACTTAATTAGGGTACTCCTAAGGCTTAGGAAGAGCCACACTCAAGGGGCCAAAGAGCCGCATGTGGCTCGCGAGCCGCAGTTTGCCGACCACTGTCTTAGGGTATTTATTAAAAGTATAGCTGCCAGGCCCCACTTCAAAAATGCTGAATCTCAACCTGTGCAGATGGAGTGGAGGAACTGAATGTCTGCATCCCAGGTGAGAGTTATTTGCATAGAAGCACCAGGACTGCTTAGGTCATAATACTGATAATGTTGTTGTTTTTCATGTTTGAAAAGCTGTGTTTCCCATCCTTAAACTAAAATCCATTAATTTCACTAATTCAAACAGCAACATGAGTGACTTGAGTTTTATGAACGTAGATCATCACAGCCTCTCCCTAAAGAACAGTGGGGCTAAGCGCCTTGGCCCCGGTCACCAAGACTGCTGTCACCTAGCTGTGTGACTTGGACAAATAATCTTAATCGAGGATTCATCCACTTCGAACCTTTGTAAAATGGAACTCCAAAGGATGCCTCTGAGGCCCTATGTGAATTTCTGAGAAAAGGTGCCTAGCGCTCATCTGCTTCCCTGGGAAGTTCCTGGCCCTTTTTAGCTTTGAAGTCCTTTCAGTGCATAAGAATACTTCTTCAGGATGCATCTTTTGGAGTCATTCAGTAATGTCTTACCTAAAGGAAGTTGTATAGAATGAGAGAAATTCGTTTTGCAGGTATAACCTTGTTAGGTCCTATTTGAGGGAAAGAGAGTGAGTTGATAGTACACTTTTGCCCTGTGCCTCACAATCATTTCAAGTGGAATCATTCCTTTGCAGTCTCTGCCAGTTCTGCCTTTACATTAGGTGGCACCTTGTACTGTGCCCACAAACCTTAAGTTTCTTTGCTTGGGTCATTCTCATGTCAGAGAAGCACATGACTTATGACCTGACTGTCATTTTTTCTCTTCACATTTCTTCTTGGACACTTTGTTCTACCCCTATAGCCCCCAAGGTTTTAATTTGAAATCCTGCTGGCATGTTTACTCAGGATAATAGTTCA